TAAAGGGTGTGTCATCAACAAAAACGAAAAACAAAATAATTAATTATTTTGTGTTAATAACTCCACGTCCTTTTACATGTGTGAGATTTAAAAGAAAAATAGTTTAAAGTTTAATAATAATAATAATATTAATTAGTGATAATTATAGCTATAGCATTAATGTATCTCATAAAAAGCAGTGCTGGATAGTTCCTGATGTTATTTATCTTTCTTCTCTACTGATCTCTTATTTCTAAACCAATGGCTTTAGCCAATGGAGGTGGGACAGCATTACCAACCTAGAGATGAATAATACCCAATAATGACAATATAATGCATTCTCTGTGAGTGCTACATGTAGTATCGTATAGAAGGGAAAATTGTGGAATTTTATAATGGTACTTGGCAAATTCATGATAAAATCGCCAAAATAAAATCGACTATTTTGCTGTATTCTGAGAATGCTCAATGTGTGACATGTGGCTGAAAATCCCCCAATATAAAAACCACCAATACATTGCAATCATGAAATCGCCAGTATTAAATGCCTTTTCTTGGTATAATACTGACCTGTCTGTGTTTATCAAGTATTGTTCCAAAGAAATGGAAAGTATCAGGGAATCCCTGTGACCGAGCACACTCCCTCACACTCACCACTTGATGCTGCTCTGGATGAAGGACAAATCCTTTAAAATAAATAATAATAAAGTAAATTATTTATTTATATTCTTTTTCTCCTTCTCACTTGCTTCCCCATTGGTTCTGGATTCGTAACAGTTGTACTAAAGAACCCGTCCCATTCTAACCTCCCATAGAGCCCAGCCCAATGATTGTGTCTATTGCCTAACAGAAGATACAATAATAATGTAATGGATGAGGCCAAAAATGACTAGGAGAGAATTCTCCATTTTTATAATTATTCCTGATACATATACATGTCTTGATGTTGTGTAGCAAGTTTGAGCTGATTCCAATCACAATTCGATTTTTTTACAAATTTTTAAAGTTGCTCCAAATGCCATGTACTGTATGTAGTGCTTGTAGCATGTTTTTTAGCTCATTTAGCATGCTTTGTCAGAAACATTACCTAGTAGTCAATAATTATACTATCTGATTAACCAGGATATTTGTTACAGCTCTAGTACTAATTCAGTTTATTCTCTACCTGTATGTGGTAAGCACCATGGTATAAGGGTCCCATATACTGCCTATAAGAGGAATCACAAGGTTGACCAGTGGCACAGGAACAGACACCTCTTAATGACTTATTCTTAGCTCTGCCATTCTTTTTATCATGATGAGTATATTGACTGGGAAGAGAGTGAGTGAGAGATAAGAAAGTATAATTAGTGGATCATTAGATTGCACAAGTTGCTTACAGTTTGGGTGCAGTAGTTCCATCAGAGAGTCTAATACATTTATTAGGAAGGCCCCTCCAGTCTGATCCAGGCCCAATTGGTATGTACCTCATACGAGCAGCAACCAATGGATTCATCTCTTTACATATGTGATCATACAACACTGGTTGGTGCTGATTACCACGCATCTAAAAAAACATTAATAAACATAAAGACTCCCAAATACAAGGTGAACATGGACTCGTGGGATTTTTCCCCTCACCATGCAGTCTCTAATAATGACAGTGTGGCTCCCCATTATAATTCATGGAGCGTACAGCTGATCCATTCTTAATGTGAGGTAGGTCTGACATTGAGTCTCTGACAGTAATTGTCCTGTATGGAGCTGAGTCCATTCTTATACTCCCCTCATACTAGGAGACTAAAGTTCATGTCATTCGCTCCAAAGAGTGGCCCTACCTTAATGTCATTGACCACTACAATTAATTGACAGGCCCTTGGACTGAATACATGAGTTGGGTTCATGACACAATCTATTTGACATATCAATTATCAAATATATAGTATATAATAATTACATATCTAATAATAATAATAATGATTTTTAATAAATAATAATACTAATAATTATTATATAATTATTATTATTATTTATTCCAGGTACTGTTGTTACTAATCCTAATCCTACTGATGCTCCATCAATCAGTCAATGATTTAGAAAATATCTCTAATATTTGACCTATAGGAAAAGAAAGTAGTCTAACTATTTAAATAAAATTGATGGGCGACCTCACCAATTTGAAACGGGCTAGGAGAGTCAATGTTACTGCCTTTGACATAATCAGAAACCTTTCGATACTTCTCAGGATATTCAAACTCATCAAACTGAGAGGGGAAGGAGAAGGAACAAGAGAGTGAGAGAATCAGGAATGCAAACATGTCACTTATTGATAAAAACATAAGGACAGGTTTTTGAAACACAATGTGAGCAGTGCACTGTCACTTCCTTATAAGGAAGTCAATGGCTTCAGTGATCATTAGTAATACTAAATTGTTATGAATTGGAATCACAAGCTTTTTGTTGTTAGTTTCAGTGTTGCGCAGGTACAAATGCTTGACTATGTAGTTTGTAGCGATGATCATGCAAAACCAGTTGTACATGTACATGTACATGTATTGCACTAAATATATCGACTCATTTATAAAATAAGTATTTCAATTTCATGTGATACAACAATATGATACACTACATTTAATTGCAGTACCTCTTCCTCTTCCTTCTTTTGTTTCTTATTGGCAGTATTAGTTCCACTGGTTTTCTTAACTTTAGGAAATGAATATGTATCAGGGGAGAGATAGACACAATCACCAATGGAATAAGACTCTTTATTTAACTGGAATGAACTGAGAGAAACAGAGAGAGTGTGTGGAATAGGATAAAAGGTAAAATTCAAGTAAGGAATAAAATGAAGGACAACAGATATACAAAATAAACACAGAACATAAATAGCAATATGACTCAAGTGTATATTAATGACACTAATGAGGTATTGATTTCTGAATTACATATACAGTAGCATTAAAACTACATAGTATTGTGGAATTCATTGGTAAGTTGCAAACAGTCATAGGGTAGAAGTACAGAAATTGGTAGGCTCCTATGGAGAGCTACATGTATGTAATGAAAATACAAACACTGTTGTTATGATTAGTGCTGCAATAACAAAACATAAAACTATAAAAGAAAGTAAATGAGAGAGAGGAGACAGAAAAGAGAGAGAGAGAGAGAGAGAGAGAGAGAGAGAGAGAGAGAGAGAGAGAGAGAGAGAGAGAGAGAGAGAGAGAGAGAGAGAGAGAGAGAGAGAGAGAGAGAGCAATGGCCAGTTCCAGTAATCAAGCATATCTCTATGAAAGGCCCCAGCTAAGCAGACTCTGTTCTCAAATAAGAACATCAAGATGGCATCAACTAGGAATACAGTCAACTAGAAGTGGATCAGGCAACACTCAGTAACATCAGAGATGATGGCTCCATCCCGTATGAAGAGAAGAGATGCGCATCCCGTATGAAGAGAAGAGATGCCGCATGTTCGAGAAATGGCTGGACGGAAATGCTACAGCAACAATTAAGCAGCTGCTGGAAGCATTGAGGCTAAAAGTGATTGGTGAAGATGCAATGGCAAAGGAATAGGAACAAACACTTGTATCAAGCCAACAAGGTATATAGTAGAATATTCTGAACATAAAAATATTCAAATCACATTTCACAGAAACCAACAAGGCGGTTGGGTATACAGCAGGTTCAACACAGCATGAAGACAATCCAACCAGAGAAGGTAAAAGCTACAAAAGAAAAATAAAAATAAAAATTGAACTTTATTAATTTTTCTTTTTTTCTTTTCAGTGATGGAAGAGATGTCAAAGAAGGCAATAAGCACAACAGTAAAGCTAACCAGTGAGGCACTGGAGTTACAAGGAAAGTATCACAAGTCCAGACCTCATGCAGGGCAGCTGAGCTCGAGCCAATGAAAAACATCCTCAGGTCAATACTTCAAGAGAAATCCCTCTACCAACTGGCAGCCATTGCTCAGTACCTGAAAGAAATAAACAGCCTTTGCTCTGTAGATCAAGTTTTCCAATTCCTCGTAGAGAAACACTTCATTAGCTACCTACACTTTCAGCTACTCAAAGAATTCTCAACTGAGACAATATGTGGTCCTAAAGCAAGCAAGAAGATAGAGAGGGAGATCTCAAAGTACCAAAAGCAATTCAAAAGCTTCATGGATTTACCGGAATTCTCAACTCTGGTACAAGTCTTTGATAAAAATCCCGAGCTCAACCCAAGCATCATAGTGGGACTGCCTATCATAATAATATCCATTAATTGACTCTTGGAAGCATCGGAACAGAAAGGAGCTGAGTGACTGGATACCTTTTCTCAAGGAAAACAAAGAGCTACTGCAATCTATTGGATACAGATGTATACTCATCACTTATGCCATCTTTCCTATTGATCTTCCTCAGGTAATGACTTTCCTTAATGATCGTGATAAAATGGAGGAGCTCAAGAAGAATGGAATAACTATAGAAATATCATAAGAGGCTACGACAATGTTTAAGTTACTCTCATCTCCAGATGTAAGCATTATGATATCAGAGTTGCAGGCAAAAATGAAAGTTTTGCAAGAAGAGAACACAAAGCTCAAGGAAATGACCAATTCCTTGAAACAAACTCAAGAAAAGATGACGCACATGTTCACGCAGACTCAACAAGTGTTGATACAAACTCAAGACAAGATAACGCAAACTCAAAAGGCTCTGATGCAGAATCAAGAAAAACTAATGGAGAAACTGATGGTAACATCATTGCAGCGCAGGAAATCTTTTCAAAATGGAGAGCACCATGTAAGAGTGCAAAGAAAAAGAAGAGCAAAATCAGATATAGCTGATCCTGGAGGCATCTCAGAAATCCTCTGATATTCATGTAGCAACTATCCAGGTGCAGCTGCTGATAGAAGATCTTTCACTACTGAGAATACTACATACAGTAGCAGCACACTCTGACTTAATAGAATAACAGACACATATACATGAGCAATAACAGCACATGTGAAGCACTGGAACATAATACAAATACATGTAATACTTTTTATTGCAGCTGTTCTTGTATGATTTAGCAATGAGAAAATAGTTCCAAATGCTGAGGAGAAAGTGAGGTTTTGGGAAGGTATTTGAAGGAATAAAGTGGTTCATAACAGAGAGGCAAAATGGTTGCTGGAGCTGAAGGAGAAAAATGAGTATGCTAGACAGCAGAATTTGGAGACAAATGTTGGTATGATAAAGAAGAGAAGTAAAAGGATAGCAAATTGGAAGACACCAGGAATGGATGGAATACAGGGCTATCGGATTGAGTATTTGACGAATTGCCATGAGAGGATTGTGGTACAGTTGAATGAGATGTTGAATGGGTTCGCAGAGATTCCACAATGGCTGACATATGGCAGAACAGTTTTGTGTAAAGGATCCAAAGAAGGGAAATGTGGCTGATAACTTTAGACCAATTTTGTATTTGCCAATTATGTGGAAGTTATTTACTGGAGTAATTGCTGATAGTTTATATGATTTTATGGAAGAGAAGAAAGTTTACAGAAAGGGTGTAAACTTGGGAGTCGGGGAACAAAGGACCAGCTGTTAACAGATTGACAAGTTAGTACTTAAGGATAGTAAGAAGAGACGGACAATTTGGCAATGGCTTGGATTGACTACAGGAAGGCATATGATATTATGGTACCACATTCGCGGATTGAAGAATGTCTTGAGATATTTGGATGTGCAACAAATGTAGAGCAGTTTATTAAATAGTAATAATAATAATAATCAATCAATAAAAATAACAACATGCATGTACATGTTCATGCACATGTAATTAATATCAATTAATAATACAATAAATACATTAATAAGAAATTACGACATTGCCGGTTTTCCAATTTTAATATAACATAAAGGGAGGTGATCATAATAAAAATTAATTAATCAATTAATAATAATTGGACTCGCCACGCTTGCGTAGGCGAGTACTAAGCAGTTGGGTTGTCATTCTGTCTGTCTGTCACGAAAATTCCTGTTAATTCCTAGTCAATATCTTTTTTACTGAGCTCTCCTGAGTTATAATTCTTTTTAAGCTTTGAGAAAAAGATAATTTATTTAGCTCCGTTGTATTTTCATAGCAATCCGTGGTAGCAAAAGCTGAATATTTTAAAGAATAGACCACTTTTCCTAGCCAAATCTTCATGTTTGACTCTATTTGGTCAAGATTAGCATTGATATGTAGAGAAAAGTACCTAGATTAAAAAATATGTGGGAATTTTCTAATCTCTTTTTTGTTTGCGAGTTACAGTTGCTCAAAGTTTGTGATTTAGCCTCTTCGAAAAATTTTCAGGCAGCACTGGGGAAAGCAAGAGCAACCAAACTATCTCAGCCTCTTTTAAATATCTAGGCAAATTTTTTGTGCTTACTCTTTCTTTTAATAGAGCTTCAGATGCTAAAATAAATTTCAGCTTTTCTTCTTTCTCCTACCCACATGCCATGTTTATCTGCACTGCACTGCTACACACCCAAGAGTTACCATGGATGATCCGTGAATGATGGGTATCAGGCCTAAACCAGGTCTGATTCTATAACGGTCCAGCATCGACGACCATCACTGCTGAATCGAGGCTGTTGCTCTGGCCTGGACCAGTATCTATTTCAGTCCCGATGTAGTCATAGCTGATACAGTAATGTCTGTTCGTCAGCACTGGTCCAGGCTGTATATCAGTACTGGATCAGATCGATGCTTTTCAAGATGGCAGCCCCGCGTGGACTATCTCAGTGACATGTTTTGTTAAAGCAAATCATCTTAATCTGACTATTTAAGAGGAATCTTGTTGGCTGTATACACTAGGGCTAAATCACTGGATGTTATGTGAGTACCGTGGACTACATTAAATACTATTTTTAGGCTATTTTGAACCATTTTATTACATAAACATGAGTAGGATACACGATATTTTGAGTAAAAAGTAGGCATATGTAGATACACAATCAAGCTAAATAAATTAATTGAGCAGATACATGACTGGAAAATAAAACGACTGACACCTTCCAATTAAAGTTTACCACATCTTGCCTACAAAATCTCTATGATACAAAAGTAGAGACCTGGGTTTATGAGGAATTACCAAAGGGGTATAAACTGCATGAACAAACTTATAATAAATTTAGGCTAGTTATTATTGTGAGATTAATGACTTCAGTTTAATTGACTATAATTAGAAGTACATACCTTTCATTATGGATTCTCTGTTAACTTTCTAGTATTGAGCCAAGCATTGAAACAGAGCCAGAAGACCTTTCTGCAATAATCATGACACTAGTGAAGACAATGAGAAATTAGGCGTAAATATTATGGTTCACTACATGTGATTGTAACTATATTTATAATTAGGGTGAATGTATTAGTGATCATGATGATGTAGATATTGTACTGAGAGACTTATGAATGATAGTCACAAGTGTGGTAAAATAGTTTATTGATTATGTGTGTAATTGTTACTTTTCCTTAGAATTTTTGATGCGGAAGATTATTCTGGAAATATTAGTATAGTAGGTGCCCCTTTAATTCATATTAATTTATTAATTTAGCAAGGCCACTAGTATACATTCTATAGTTACCTTATCTCACTAAGTTTCAAGACAAGAATATCTTAGGTTTGTTTAATTTCATGCGAAAAGCTAAATTCATTATTCAGGTTGTGATGAACTGAAACTTTCTTGTTTAAAGCTCTTGTTAAGGTCAGTTTAATCATAGTGTTTTAATTTATTATCATCATTTGTCATTATGGTTCACTTCAAATAGCATTGAATTTTTTTGTGAACCTGCCTTCATCATGCTGGTTAAGGAAGGTATGTAGTTCCTTTGCTTATGTAGAATTTATGCCTCATTATAGTTATGTTATGGAACTAAGCCTTGTAGGACTATGTGTGACAAGATACCTTTGGAAGATCTGCTTCACTACATGGAACCCGAGAGTTCATTAATGTTGGAGATTTTGGGAAATTAATTTCTCAGTAATGTAAGTTTATTAATTTTAGTGCCTTCTTAATTTATGGCTCTTTAGGTGTCTTAACTTACAAAACATGAAGTGTCTTACTTGTGGAACATTGGTAGACAATGATGAAGAAAACAATTATAATCTTTTTTTTGGTTTTAATAATAATTCCAAATCATTTTAAAATTAATAATGAATAATAATTAGATATTAATCAAGCATAACAGGAAGTACGTCATAATGAGGCTTAATGAATATCGTTATCGTTGTCGGATCAGGCCTAGCACCAGCATAAATCGTGGCTGATTCGTCAATATCGGATCAGGATATTGCCCCAAATCCTCGGTCCAGGCTCGATCATCAGTGATGATTCAGGCCTGTATCAGGACTGGTCCATGTTCCAACTCTTGGGCGTGTAGGTGCTGACCACACCTAAAATTTATTTTATGGATCAGTGCAGTAATTGGCTAATTGCATTGTTGCACTTTGTCAAAATCTATTATCCTTCTTTCAAATATCAAGTTGCTTATACCGTAATTTGCCTTTTTTTCGTTGTGGAAATATTTTCGTATGGTCCTAAAATGACGAAAATATTTCAATTGAAAATTTTTGAGCAACCACTAATTTGTGACCTAATTCATCAAAGAAAGACTAAGGTACGGCCTGATAAGTAGGTATCTTCTTGCAGCTCTAACCTTGCTCTATCCACTGGTGCTTGCTATACTTCAATCAGTTGCTTCACTACTGAGTTATAAAATAAAACGGTCCACTATGTGACAAAAGTAGCCATTTAATGTTTCCGTTTATTATCCGTAAATTGGTCATTGCTGCATCTCCAGTACTATCCGTATACTAGTAATGTCGGGGGGAACAGCCAGGTCAAGAATCTCTTATCTCAAGAATTATAAACACTACTATAGCGGCTTTGTTACCAGTAGGTAAAGGACAAGGTATATGCAAGAGAAGCTAAATTTTCAGACTGTAAAAATTTTTGTACACTATGAGAAGACGAAAATATTTCCACTTGAATTTTTCTGAAACAAAAAATTTTTGTAAGGAAAAAAGGCAAATTACAGTATATATAATATTATGATGGGGGCAGTACAAGTAACACATTATCCCTCAGGTGAATCTCAGCAGGCGAGTCCACGCATCATGGTGCTTCATTGATTAATTAATTAGATGGTGTGTACATGTACATGTGTACCTCGTTTTTGAAGCCCTGAAAGTTTTAGAAAAAAAGAGTCTGAGCGTCCCGTTCTTCCTCTTTCTCAGCAGCAGACTCCTCTTGCGGCCCTTATCATCAGTCTGAGCGTCCCATTCTTCCTCTTTCTCAGCAGCAGACTCCTCTTGCGGCCCTTATCATCACGAGTAGTCTCTCTCCTGTTGTTTAGTCGAATCTTCAGTGCTAGTTTCTTGGTTCCTGATAGTTCCTTTGAGTGGAGACGAGGCTTCTGATTCTCCTCGGGTACATTTAGCTTTGGCATGCTGGAGCCACATGCCAGGAGAGAAAGAAAGGGAGAATAGTGAAGAGAATAGTTACGCGCCACTATAATTGATACCACCGTTTTACACGTGGCTTTGCGCATGCGCAGATGTGTACTAATCTTATAACCCATTTTCATTCCAACCATCCAATTTGTAT